TTGTTTAAATTGGTGGACTAGATAGGTTTTAAAGTTGCATGAATTTGTTTGATGACTATAGGTGCCTTGCACCATAGTGTCTTGAAATCATGCCAATACGATAGTTCTTACGCATTATGCTTGGAAATAATAAAGAGTTTCTGTGCTATCTTCTGTTGTAACAGTTTGCAAATATTGTATAAATTTCAAAGGTGCCAATATTATGCTCAGAAACTTTTATTAAATTAGTTGACGTTAAAGTTCTATATTATTACTATACACAGAATATAATAGTATCCGAAATCTTTACATGCCATCCTTTATCTTATTGTTGTTTTCTCGCCGTTGTTTCAGAATATTGGATATGAAAAATTCTCCTGCTTTATAACTACTCCTAATTAATGGTCCAGATGCTGTATATAAAAAACCAAGATCGTCTCCAACGCTTCTCCAATAATCAAACTTTTCTGGTAATACATATTCATGTACTTTCATATTTCGCCTTGTTGGGCGAACATATTGCCCTATTGTCACACAATCAACGTTATGTTTTCGCAATTCTGAAATGACACATCAAATAAGCACATATATGAGCCAAAGCAATGCAATCTTATAGCAATTACATTTGTATTACTCAGCACTACAGCTGATTACCTTTCAATGCATGCATGACTTCCTCATCCGTTTCACCAACACCAAGCATAATATTGGACTTGGTTATCAGATCTGGTTCAACCTTCTTAGCATGTTCCAACACCTTCAAGCTCTGGCGAAAACTTGCCCTTCTGTCTCTAACAAATGGTGTTAATGCTTCCACAGTTTCAATGTTATGTGCATATACATCAAGACCGGAAAGAGCTACGTTTGCCACACAATCTAACTCTCCCCGAAAGTCACCAGTCAGACATTCTACTAATATTTGGGGAGATCTTTGAAAGAGAACCATCAAAAGTGAAGTGTAAGAATTGGCTGCTAATATGATCATATTTAAAATATACAGAGTTGACCTACCTTTGTTTTAATATCCTTACAGTTGTAGCAAAATGCTCTGCGCCACTATCTTGTAAGTCTAGAAACACATGAGAAAACCTCACAATGAATATCTAAGTTGACGCTCTGTCTTCTTATCCTATGCGCGATGTTCTTTTTATCTTACCATCCCGATCAACAGACGTCAACACGACATAATCCAGACCCCATTTGGAAATAGCTTCGGCAACGTGTCTTGGTTCATTTGGATCCAGTGGTTTTGGTAACCGACTCGTCTTTACTGAACAGAAACGACACCCTCGCGTACACTCATCACCCATAAGCATTATCGTCGCGGTGGCTGTTTGGTGTTCGCCTCCGCCCCAACAATCGCCTATATTTGGACAACGAGCTTCCTCACACACCTTAACGAATGAATGAAAAGTAGTTAATAGTTAAACACGTACATATAGAATTAGAATGAATCGTGAAGTACGATCAAGTAGTTATAGTTACTGTATGAAGATTAAGACCGCGAAGATCTTGTTTTATTCTCGTGTAGTTTGATCCAATTGGTATTTTAGTCTTTAGCCATTCAGGTAGATGTTGATAACTAAAACGTATCATCAAAGCCGAAATATTAGTTCCACTTCTGTATTTATATACATTCGCCCACCTAACCGAGCATATTACATTTGTTCTTTTTGGACAACTTATGTCGAGTTTGATCATTTTTTCCAACTCACTTTTTTTTCCCACTCTGTTCGCTGCTTGCATTTTTTCCATTCCCACCTGTCTTTTTTATCCCGTTTGCATCCTCAAGCGTATGTTCCTGAGAGTCGCTTATGAAATCACTTAAACTTGGTCCATTCGCGAGCTTTTCTGTAAACCGCACCGTCTTTGCGGATGTCTCTAGGCCTCGTGTGGTACGAGTACATAAAGTTGGGAGGGAGGAGTATGGCAAGGAAAGCGAAAGTGTTTTCCGCGAAAGACTCGTGTAGAAAGATAACATGTTAAGAAGAATAGAAATAAAAAAATGGTTCCAAATTATGCAAATCACATGTAAATCAGAAAATGCTCGATCCTTGACTTTTACATCAAACATTTATTACTACTATTCGCAAAGCTGAAATCAATGATTCGATTAAACCGTTTATATTCCCAAGGACATCAAATATTAAGTTTATTCTGCAACTTTCAAGTACAGAAGGTAAGACATAATATCATGAAGAGTGCTTGATGGTATTCCTGACTATCGTGTGAGCGCGACTGAGCGCATTAATGATATGATATCATAGAGTGTAGGCCGTGAATTGAGAGTCGGGCAGAGGGGATTAGCAACCGAGGTTAATGCTAGTCTTCCCGGTTCCACATTACGGCCATTAGGTGTGTATTGCAACAATTTCGTTAATATTATCAAATTCCTAAAATTTAATCCTTTCCTTCTTGCCAAATAACTTCCTTCAGCTATCTCACCAATACCATCGACACTCCAAGCATGGTTAAAAGATTTCCACACAAACGAACCGCTAGACATAATCGAACTTGATCGTAAAATCTTCGGCATACCATTGCGTAGAGACTTAATTCATAGAGTAATTGTATGGCAGAGAAATAAATCAAGACAGGGGACACATTCGACGAAGGGGCGGAGTGAAGTCAGTGGAACGACACGGAAGGCGTTTATGCAGAAGGGAAGAGGAAAGGCTCGGGTTGGTAGTTTGAGAGCCCCCCAGTTTAGAAAAGGTAAAGTATGGTTTAGGTAGTGAGAATTTGCAAGGTATTAGAGATTAAAAGTCTAAAATTTGGTCTTTGAAAGAATAAGTGAGATTAAGCAAAGACAAAGGCATCTAATATTTGACAATACACGCACTAAAATATGTGTATGATCTACCAACCTTTTCCGCTTCTCAGGTGGCATAGCTCATGGTCCGAAGCCCCGTTCACACGCTACGCTTCTTCCCCGCCAAGTACAGCTACTTGGCTTACGCACGGCCTTATCCACCAAGTATGCCCAAGATGATCTGATAGTCGTCAATTCAATTAACCTCCCCTCTCCGAAAACCCAGAAACTGTTATCCCTATTTTCTCATCATTCGTGGGATCCTCTTGCTGATGATAAAATATTGGGCAATTCTTTATTATTCTTGTCAGAAGTTAACGATAGGAATCTAACATTAGCCATGAGGAATCTAAAAAGGGTCCATGGCTTGACAGTACAAGAAGTCTTTGACGAAGCAGATGTATATAATATAATTGGTCATGAGAAGGTAGTTATTGATTTAGGTGCGGTTAGAAGATTGGAGGAATTGCTGAGAGAACCGTCGGTGTTGCCTCGAGATTTGAACATAAGCTTAGTGGATAAGAGAGCAGAAGAAATGTGATTATAATACATAGGCTGGTTATAACAGTTAGAACATTTGTGATAGTGGAACGAGAACCCGACCGAACCTTTAATAGATCCCCAATATTCGTCTTGCGCTATGGGGCAGACTGAACAAAATTGGACAAAGAACATTGTGATTTATTAGATGGGATTAAGAGTACGGCTGATGACGTTTTCTTATACAGCATGGTATAATAATAATTGTAATTGACATTACCGAAACGAAACTCTTGCTGCAATTACAACATGTTTCATACAGGCCTATCTTATTAATACACTAGCTAGAAATAAGTTTGCCCGTCGTCAGTTTTCGAATAGTACATAACAAAAGAAATCAATTTAGTATCAATTGAGAGTGTACGCGCCTTGTTGTTACGCGACAGACAAATAAAATAATAAATCTTCTTTTTTTAAAAAAAAAAACGCGCAAACTTATTTCCAGCTAGTGAATGTTCATAATAAACTCGAAGATTGGTTATAAATAATGCCAATTCACTACATTTACTTAATTACAACCATTAAATACTCACTATCCAACGTTATAAGGTTTCACTAACTTAAGCAATTATTCACGCAGCTGAGCCTAGACATTTAAAGTGAAATCCAAACCCACCAAACTACTCAGTAGGGAAAATACTGAAGAACTGTGAGCTGGGACTTGGTATTTTCGTTTAAAAATGGCACATATGTGAAGGAACATATCGGTAATATTATAGCATTCGCTAGCGCAAAATCGTCGTTCCAAAATGCCATAATAATTGCCGACGAGTCTCTTAACTTATTGCGTTTAAACTGGAAAGTTAGTTGTTATCACACTTTATATTTAGTTTCTTTAAATTGGCAAAACCATTCAAATCTAAATTTTCTGATCGCCCTCACGAAGGAAGAGTTATTACATGAGAATCAGGAGAATCTTTCACGGCGAAATGCGACTGTTTTGTTCTGTACAAAAAATAATCAAGAAATAAGAAGGATTGATCCTGAAACAATTTGTGTTAGCGAACATGCTGGTGTACAGATTTTTTTAATAAGCCATCTGTCCCAATGTTATGTGCAGATCACCAACAAAAACGCTGTAACGCGACTTTTGGAGGGGGCAATTTACTAGGCTTTTTTGGGTTAGGATTAGGGTAACTTTTGTTGTATCCAGTTATATCCCAGCTTTGATGCTCCTACCTCAATTATATCCCACTCAGATATATCCCTATCCCCGGCGATATAAGCTTTGACGGGTACAAAGAGCTAGCGGCCTTAATGAAGATATTTGACTTTAACTGAATAAACAAAACGAATATCAAGTTGTAAGATTGCCTTTCGCAATAAAATTGTCATCTGCAGTAGATGACGTAGTATTTCTCGAATAATTCTGCAAAGTAACGAGTGCACAGATTTGGTTGATGGAAGTCGTAATATTATTAGCAGTCGAACAATTAATTAGTTGATAGATTTACTGTATTTGGGGTAAACTGGCAGTTAGCACACGTAACAATATGATAGAAACTGGCATTTCAAAATATATATATATATATATATTTTTAAGCGACTCAGTTTTCCGCTACGATCGGTGTGTTGTGTTGTAACGCTATAATTAGAACATTTCATTTTTATCAATAAACGAGTAATTCCTTATACTCTAAGATTATTATTTATTCCCTATTATCGTCGATATAGTTTAGAAAGCGTTAATTCCTATATAGTTTAGGAGTATTTGCCTCTTGTCCCGCTTATACTCCTGTGGCAATTACGATAAATACCGCTGTTAGCAACGCGTTGAGATATCCCATCATGACATATTAATCCCGCCAGTTCATAGTCGATAGTTTTATAATCGATCAGCGACGTGACTAGCGTCTGTAAGACGAGTATTCAGACTCTGAGACAGGTAAAAGCCTCCGGTGAAGGCTAACTAATTCCCAACATATTGAGGTACGTTTTCTGACAAAGCGGCGTGTTGCGATCTCAATAATAAAAGTTATTTCTTCACCATTCGCTTTCAGTTGGGCCATTAAAAATATGTCTCGTTCAGATCTAGAGAGAGCTTGAAACGCTTCACGTAATTTTCTCTCGGAATTTTTTTATCTCCAAGAAACGCATTGCTTTTTTGTATTCGGTGGAACTGTTATAATTATCATGGGTATTCCTATATATATATATAATTTTTATCACTCTGTAACTGGCCTAAGTCATCTGCGTATTGGTAACTATCAGAATATTTTCAAGCTCGTATTTTTTGATGATTGGTTACTTGCCTTTTTTTATCGGATAAACTATTATTTTAAATCGCAGATATATAAAGAACGAATAATCTCAAAGACCACCCTTTAAAGATTATTTGTGATTGGATAATTGCTTACAGTATTACATGAATTTAACTCAGAGCCAAGGAATACGTTATCTGTCTCAACGCTTGCCACGTTTCTGGGAACGAATTATTGCTACGCATACGCTAATCTGTAAACGCTACACAACATGCTCCATTTGTTGTGGGCGGGTGTAATTGTTTCGTCTCCCATTTTAACGAGTTGTGTATCTGCCAATGGGACGAGTATTATCTCAACATTATTTGCCCAAGAGATCTAATGCATGTTCATATAAGTACTTGACCCATATGAGGGCAAAGAACCATAAGTTGAAACAGACTTCTGTATTTATTATGCAATGCAAAACATACAGCACCTATGGGAAAGCAAGTTCCTATGTTGAAGTTAAATCTCATAATCACTATTTAACTTTAATATCTTTTCCGCATCCAACACCTCTGCAATTCCCGATCCTAATAATGTTACTTTCTCGTTTGAACCATCTGCAAACCTCATAATAACAGATTCAAAATTTTTAGCACACTGGACGTGTATAAATTCTCGTTTGGGAGAACGTGGAAGTTCTTTCTGTGACTGTCTAATATCAACAATGGCATACTCTTTTGCAATTCCAACAATAGGGCCATATACATTATCAGCCTCAAAACATCTACAATGTTCTTCGACATCATTTCCATCTCGTAAGAGTTCGATTGCCCAGTCTCTTGCATCATCAACATAAAAATCAATAAATCCGCTTGAACCAAAGACAGCCCCGACATCAACTGATACAAAGATACTTTCAGGAAGGACTTGCATTGCTGCACGATAGAATTCCATTTGCCATACCCGTTCTAATAAACGGCCATCTGCTCCAATTCCTAAAGATGCTTGC